CGTTAACTTCAACAATACCCTGTGACTGTAGTTCAATTACTCACTATCTAATCACACGCATTACCGCGTCACATTGTCCCCTCTTATATATACCCGACTACCCTATCTAGTAAATACTAGAGCATTCCTGAAAGAACAATATAGTTCTAGAAACTAGAGGGCGCCACACCAGTCACGTGACCTCGATGACGCAACACTTAGTTAATTTTCCGTAAAAATTGTAAAAATTATTTCGGAAGAAACTTTTTGTAAAAATGACTGCAGACATTGCTGCAAAAGAGAGAGGTTGAACTAACCAGGTGCCATCAAGCTGAAGTCAAGCCGACTGAAAGAGTTGATGATGATGAAGTGGAACCAAACATAGATATCAAAGCAGAACAGCAGAAAGACCAAGATTTGAAGCCAATGATTGATTTTCTAAAAGCAAGTGTTTTGCACCCTTCTTGGGAGAAGGTATCTAGTCTAAGCCCTGTGACAAAGAACTATTGGGCATAATGGGACCAGTTGAGGCTTGAAGATGGTATTCTTCTCTGGAGATGGGAACTGCAGATGGGAAAGTGATGACCTGGCAAACGGTTATACCGAGAAAGTTACAGGAAGTTGTGCTGCGTCAATCCCATGATACTGTAACAGGAGGACATCTCGGAGTTAAGAAAACATTGAGTCACTTACGACACAGATTTTACTAGGTAGGTATGAGACAAGATGTGGAAGAATGGTGCAGAACATGTTGTGCTAAAAGGGGGACCCAAGCATAAGGGACGTGCTCCAATGAAGTTATATCAAGTTGGCGCACAAATGGAAAGAGTATCCGTTGACATGGCTGGTTCTCTGCCCCAAACTCGTGCTGGAAACAAGTACATTTGTGTGGTGATAGATTATTTCACAAAGTGGCCTGAGGCATATGCAATACCAAATCAGGAAGCTACAGCTGTAGCTTTGGCTATTAGTGATTTCTTTTTCAGATTTGGTATGCCACACGAACTGCATTCAGATCAAGGCCATAACTTCGAATCAGCTGTGTTCCAAGTTGTTTGGCATCCGAAAGACCAGGACAATGCCACTTCACCCACAGTCCGATGAAATGGTAGAAAAGTACAGCTGGACACTGGGACAGGAATTGGCAAAGTTTTGTAATAGCAGCCAAGATGACTGGGATGTCTTACTCCCTCCACTGTTGATGGCCTATAGGACAGCAGAGCATGAAGCCACTGGATACACTCCAGCAAAGTTGATGTTTGGTCGGGAACTTCGGTTGCCAGTGGATCTGTTAAGAGGACGCCCACCTTATGAAGAGTTGCCTGAAAATGTGTCAGAGTTTGTGAAAGTGTTATCGGAAAGAATGGATGATATCCACCATCAAGTGCAATCAAACTTGAAAGTGTCTGCTGATTCGATGAAGTTAACTTATGATAAGAGAGCTACTGATGTCAGCTTTGTACCAGGAGACAATGTATGGTTGTATAATCTCAGGAAGACCAAAGGGAAGTCTCCTAAGTTGTCTTCTCCATGGGAAGGCCCATATGACATAGTGGATCGTCTCTCAGACGTGACTTTCCAGATAAAATGTGGTCTACGAGGTAATCCAAAGGTGGTGCATGCTAACAGGCTTTGGCATTATCACGGTCCAGGACATTTCAGTTGGGACGAAGTGAACATCGGAACAAATGACGCTGCTGAAGACATGTCACCTGAAAACGCTACTGTCGAAGAGGAAACTGGACTCGGTTTTGAGAAGGGAAACAGTGAAGCCCTTGATGAAGTTACTACCACTGATGTGACTGTAACCAATGGTAGGACGTTTCCTGATGAAGCAGATGAACCCCACAGGAAGCAGAAGCCAACGAGACAGAGACCAGTACGGAAGAAGATACTCCCGTAAAATTAAGAGACTTTGTTGAATTTTAATTTTGTGTTCGTAAATTCTGTACATTTAATTAAGTTATTGTTAATTGTTTATTGGTTTAATGTAACTGGCTATTGTTCGGGACGAACAATACTAAGGAAGGGGCAGTGTTACGACAGCGGGGGTCACGTGACGCTAGTAACACGTCATATTCTCGAAGGTTCATGAAGTCTCGAGAGGTTACTAGATATGCGGTAGTCTTGTACATATAAACCAGTAAGAACTGACGGCAACAAGGTAATGTGTAATTGAACTGCGGACAGAGAGACATATTGTTGAGGTCAGCACATGAGACCTTTGTTGTGAATTATAGCGTTTGTTATAGCGCGACTGTGGAAATTAAGTGTATTGCAAAGTTGTATTTAGAAAGAATAAATCAGTTTTATTTAAGAAAGGGCTTGTATTGCTAAAGTTCTTCGGAAAGAGTTTTTACGAAAAATTAACTAACAACCAGAGGCGTAACAGTATCATCGTTTTGATTGGTCAGATGATATAGCACAAACTAACTGTAACTTCTCAAATTCCTAAGTAAAGATGTTGTTAGACAATTTACTCCAACGCACCATACAGTTTAGTCTTTGT